TATCTACCAGGCTGTGGCACGCGATGCAGATGTGATCGATCGAAATGCGCTGATTTATAAAATTAGCAGTTCCGCCAATTCGGAAGTACTTCGTTGCTTTGCAATCAACCAATCCACCGGGGAAGTGTACATCCGGAACCGATTGTTCTTTCCAAACGCCTCTCTTCTGCCCGATTCTAGTCCCAAATCAGTCTCACATTACACCGGACAATCTCCCATATTCGGTTACATAATTCCCATACAAGTTAGTGACCGTTTGCACCAAGCTGAAGCCATACTGACAGTTCAGTTGACTCCAGTTAACACACAACCGCCAAAAATTTCGATCAGTTCCCATTTGCGCATGTCCAACACAGGTGATCAACTATGGATTGCGGAAGACACACCAGCAGACTCTATTGTGGCCATGATTAATGTGTTAGATCCAGACAAGCCACTGAATTACGGGTCGGAAGAAGAAGAGTTACTAAATACCAGCCCAGGACGCGTAAGCGGTCGCCCTCAGTGTTTTACCAATCATGAACAATTTGTAATTTCGATCAGTTCCCATTTGCGCATGTCCAACACAGGTGATCAACTATGGATTGCGGAAGACACACCAGCAGACTCTATTGTGGCCATGATTAATGTGTTAGATCCAGACAAGCCACTGAATTACGGGTCGGAAGAAGAAGAGTTACTAAATACCAGCCCAGGACGCGTAAGCGGTCGCCCTCAGTGTTTTACCAATCATGAACAATTTGTAATTCGTCCCTTAACGGTAACCTCTGCCACGGAGTTCAAACTCATTTTAAGAAAAGTACTAGATCGCGAAACTTTGGAGTCACATTCAGTGCGAATCGAGTGCTGGGACGCGGGAACTCCACCACTATCGTCCGAATTGCGGTTCTTTGTCCGTGTGGAGGACATCGACGATTCGCCACCGCAATTCGAAAACTCTNGAAAACTCTGTACATCGAGTAACCATAAAAGAGGGACAGCCACCGCACACTTTGATTACACGAGTCCAAGCCACAGATGCCGATATTGGAGAAAACGCACGCGTGGCCTACAGAATTATTGGTCAAGTCTATACACCATCACAACCCAACTTGAAACGGCCGGAAGTGACTGCTTTGGTCTCACCCGACAAACCCTTGATTTCAATTGATAAAATAACCGGTGAAATTTTCAACGAAGTGATTTTCGATCGCGAATCGTTGGATCTCATTAATTGTACCGTGGAAGCATACAGTCCGGTGACGGAGAGTGGAGAACAAATGTTGAATGTTCCGCCGGATAGGCCGAGAACTGCTTTCAAATCTCACATGTTTGTCATCATCAGTGTGGAAGATGTTAATGACTGTGCGCCTCAGTTCAACATGACCTCGTATGAGTTTACGGTGCTTGAAGGACAGCAATCACATTATCAAGTAAGTCACCATTTACACATGTGGATTCTTTAGTGAAGAAAATGACCGGGACTAAATTTAATCAATCATTATCTTGGCTGAACTCAGTATTTTTACTTTCTAGCACAAACAGGATGCAGTAATGCATGTGTGTTGTCATTCTGCTTATGAGACCCGGTCTACGCACCGACCATTTTCAGGCAACAGCTTAAGTGTAGTATTTTACAATAATATGATAAATGCTGTCTGAATACTGGAGCCTGGTTTATTGAATTGCATTTCTGTGAATTTGGTCGGTCTGATGTATTTCGGCAAACCATTCAATTGTCTCATTCTTACAGCGGTGATCTAACCCGATAAAAATGAGTCTTTTCACATGCGCATTTAAAAAGTAAACCACAATAAAAGTTTACCTCTATCAAAGGGAGCATATGCGCTGATGAAAAGCGCAAACTACGCATACATTCTTAGTCAAATACCTGAGGCATATTTTTGATACCTGAGTTGGTTCAAGTTATTCCAACCAGTGTTAATTCAAGTACGTGACTATCCGAGTTGAATTACTAATTCATTGGTTTGTTTGCGGAGAAGTACAGAAAATCTCTAGGTGAATGAATTGCCAAGTGAGGTGAATAGGTGAAATAGTGCTCAACTACTGTAAACCACGACGGAGTGAGCATTATTCATTTTATTTTTGTTTCTGCTAAAGTGAAACGAGAAACATAAATTTCTTGAAAAAATAAACCAGGTTCTTGGTTTATTCATGGAAAGAAGTTTCCCGTTTGCAAAAGAAATTATCTAAAAAGTTTCAGATACGCATCAATCACTTGAGCCTAAAATGAGGATTAGAAGCACATCATTGTACCACATTCGCAATCAATATAAGTACGGTTGACAGCACATGCATGAACTCAGTAAGTCTGTAGATGAACCCGTGTGTTATCCGAGGCTGTGCAGGTGCATTTTCAAATGTGATGTTCCGATTTGATTTCTCTTCTGTCGACCGGAACTGTAGGCCAAGTCGAATGTAGTTCAAACTGGACGGAAGTGATTAGTAGTATGAAGTCATTTTCACGAGAAATACATTTACAGACCCATGTCAAAACTGGTTTGAATCACATTTGCCAACCGGAGAACTTACTTCGCAATTGCATTTCGTCGTAATATGTGTGCCTACAGTTCCTCCTAAATTGTGGCTCGAAATGTGTACTTACTGGGAAATAGAACCGGAAACTGATTCATCAGGAGAGCAGAAGTTTCCTGGAGTGACTACCGAACCCTTCTGGATCTCGTATTAATAAGACTGTTATGTATGACATACACATACATATGCATCTATATGTACATACATAATCCAAAATCACAGAAGCCTTTCAGTCTAACTGTTTCATATAAAACAAGTTGAAACAACAGGTGGGTGCTTAATTGGGTACTTTGTCATCCCGATCAGGGAATTCTAAGGGATGATTTTTGTCACCAATAGATACTGCATATTCTGTCGGTCTAATTAACCTGGCGCCAGTTGTTTATCCACGCGTAAAACATCACTGTAGCTAATCAACTGTTGCCTTCTTGAACGACATGGGAAAGCACCTGAGCCCGTACTTTGGCTTACTGTTCGAAAATCGTTAGAAGTCCGATGGAGCTGATTGTGGAGATGGTTTGCACAGTGATGAGACAGATACGTGAAGGAATAATATATAGAACGCAGACCAGACCGGCCGTCTCTTCACCCTGATACAGTTATCAAACCCTTTTCAGGTGGTTCACAGCAATTGGTTTTATCAAGATGTGCCCTAACCACGGAGTTGGTGCATAATTGCAGCTTTCAAAACTACTCCTTTATCCTTGGGTACTCCTGTTAGGCAATAAATCCTAAAAGGGTATTGTTGTGATCACATTGCATTTGAGGGACTAGTACTGCAAGCGTTACACTCCTGCATGTGACAGAACAAAAAACAATTTAGTTTATTTCGGATTCAGAGTAGCCAGCCTGGATTAGCCCATTCGATTATTAAAAGGCACCAGGCACTCTTGATGATCCATGAAGAGCCTTTCGCACAAGGCGTTGACCATCTACCGTGTAACTCAGTGGTAGGGGTTGGAAGTCCCAACCTGAAAGTTCGCGGTTCTAATCCTGACAGGGACACAAAAAGTACGCACTGCTAACGAGTGCCAAACAGGACGAAACAGCTGTCCAGTGCTCTTTGTCGGTTACAAACATTGCCATCGCATTTCGGATTCAGTTGTCAATTTTAGACTAATCGAACGGATAAACATAGGGCATGCATTGTTATAAGCTTTTCTCCGCTTACTGAAGCAACCATCTTTCAGAATGGAACATGATGACACTTAAATTCCCGCAGCGCTCGAGTTTTGTATCTTCGGGGAATACAGCATGAACATCTTGTCATGCTTGCGTGTGTTCCGGATTTATCTACGTATATTTTCATCATGGTACATTCCAGTGCAATAAACAGCACTGTCGAATGACAAACAGTTACACAGCTTCTTTGCGTCAGTTCCCGAGACTCATAAGTTTAAACATAGTTAACTATGAAAGATTTCGATGAGATTTGTACCCAAGAATCGATGTCTCCTGCGTCTCTATCCAACGGTCACACAAGCGGCTGATTTGGTAGGCCAAAACTAATAATCCAGTTGTTTCTAGGCTGAACTACCCAAAACGCTTACGGATAATTGTGATAAAACTGGGAAGCATGTAGGACGAATTCTACGAATAGTATCGGTATAATCTACCGGAATCCATCTCACGAGCTAAGCAAATTATTTCACCATCACCATTTAACAGCTTTTAAATTGTTTTCACGAAATCTAATTGTAAGAAGACAGTGAGACCACATGGGACCAGTACCTCATTGAATTAAATGATGTATTCGTGAGCAGTTAAACTGGAGGTATTTATGTATACACAGCAAACATGGGATACTAAGAAGTGTTCCCCAATGATTACTGAGCACAGTCTTATGCATTGTATCAAAGTTAGCTTATTATGCAGGATTGTACTATTAAGTACCATGTTTGTCTTTAATCCAAACGTGGACAGGACAGTGAATTCAGATGGAGGTGAACGATGAGCGGGATTGGAATTATTTTAATTTCTACCAAGCCTCAAACTTTTTGATCAATGGCACAAATTTATTAAACAGCAAATTCATCCTGCTTATATCATTGAAAATAATCTCAGAACCGAAGTTATTTGCGAATGATTTAATTCGCTTTTGATCGCCGTGACACATTTCAGAAAACTGTAACCAATTTTCGTTTGAGGAGGTACCAGATATCGTAGGACTTGATGAAATGGTTAAGNGGTTAAGTTAGATAAATGTGATTAGAGTGGAGAAAACAATCTTTCGAATAACCCAAGCTGCTTAAATAGTTCAAACATCACAATGAGTTGCGACCATTGGCAGATATTAAAAGATTTCAAAAAGAAGTCTTCACACACTAGTCTTCTTTAGTGTAAAAGTATAGGTCACTCAGATTAAAGCGATGCATGTCCGCCACCAGTACCGAATGTGTCTTCAAAGTTCGTTTATAAGTTGGGCTGAATAAATTTAACTGTCTAATACGATTCATAGTTGTTTATTACTTATTTTCATATCTGATTTTCGGTTTACGGGGTTGCTGCTCTCTTATTTTCAAATTCTGCGCACAATACTTTTAAAACTCTATTTCCTCTCTACCAATATCTCCGTATTTTCGGTAAAAAGTTCAATGTTGCACTAACCAAGGTTGTATCGTTTTCGTTTCAGTCTGAATTTTCCACTCCGATAAACCGAAAATTTTTGGTTTTGCCTCATTTTGTTTTGTTTACACAAAGGGAGCCATGTGAAAGCAACATATTGCGTGTACGGTAATAAACATTGATAAGTTTTGATATGTCAGACGGTTACACTTGGGGCTCAGTTCCCACCAAACTACGGACTGATTTCACGTGCGAGTGGCTTGAATTGTGGACACGGGATGTATTTCACTCCACTTTGGAATAAACTTGCCATTGTTTGATGCAATTGCTTCTTTGTTTTTTCCCCGATTCTAGCGTGAAAGCTGCCAAAAATTAGTTAAAGTATTCAACCTCCCAAATAAGAACAATAATAGCATATTTGCTATTTGGTCATTGATGTTAATGAGCACTTCGTTGGAATAAGGTGACGTCAACTCGCTCCGGGGATTATACAATGTTGTCCCCCCCCACACCATCTCCTAAAGATAAACTGATAAACGTTCGTGTCAGGCTTAATTTCCCAGATTCAACTGATGTTCACACGGTTTATGTAACCCGTAATATCGTAGTAGAGCTTAGTTGATTAATTTACTTTTCCAGTGTAATCATATTCAAGTAGACCGAAATTTCGACCCATTAGTAGATGTTTTCAGCGCGTCTATACATTTTTCTACTTACGCTTCATTCCGCGTTTAAAGCTATCCTCAGTGGCAGTTCAGAACTCAAAAGACAAAACAAAATGTGATAAGGGTTTTTTTTTAAAAACTGTAAAGTTATTATAAGTAAAAAGCTAATCTGTTAACCTCGTCATTCTGGGAACAGTTTTGTCCTGTTGAGCAAATGGTCTGAAAAACCTAGTTGAATTGGTGACTAATAATCAAAACATTATTCACTTGAACGAATTTCTGCATTATCTAACTGGTATTGTTTTCCGAAGGTTGGTTTGCACAAAACCCGTCATAGATATGTGCCTTATATCAGAAACAAATGAACAAACATTTAAGCGTAAAATATCCCTCGAATACTTTATATATGTACATCTAAGTGGCTTACAGTAAATGCGTAGTTTCACTACGGCTTTCGGGGTTCTGAATTAGCCTGTGACGCTTCATTTGAGAACACAATAAAATAAGATGCAAAATTTCTTGAGAAGCAGATTTCTGTACAAAAAACCCATATATGTTTTTATCGATACAACAACTGAATCATGCATTACGCGCAGTCCCGATAGATGCAATCTGGACACGTGCACATTATATGTTATATAAAATTTATTTAACTAGAAAAGAAATATAATAGCTGAAACATTTCCCAATTCAACTTATTTATGAAATATTACAACGACACAGTTAGAAGTAAATTCTATTTGGATGAAGTAAACAGGTATTAGAAAACTCATTGTCATTCTGATGGGCAAACTATTGATATCAGCCTAAAAGCTATTTCCTCGGCTTCGCTGGCAATGTGGCGTGGAGGAATAATTCAGGGTGCGAACTTTTACTCGATGCGAGTTATCCCGGGAAAGTTGTTATCATTATTGTTTGCAGTGAATAGCGCACATAAATTACTTGGTTTCAGCTCACCCAAGTCGATCTCTTACATATTCTTCATTCTCAAAGCCCATCAGCTTTTTGAAGCCTTCGGTCGTGACACCCAGAGATTGCCAAACGGTCGCGAAATTGCAATGATACATTCTTTCGTAGGGTGGCTGTAAACAGTAGTGCCGTATCAATACACATGCAAAAGGCGTTCATCAGACAGCCTCGGTCACTCAACCAAATTCTCATCTCAGGAAACATGCATCAGCTCATGGAAGAATTAATTAAATCAAACCAATCGGTTGATTTGGGCAGCTATTTTGTTCGATATGTTTTGATCTGAACATTTGAGATTTCTTCATTTCAAATTTCCAAAAAATGTGTTTGAATTGAAAAAAATATATCACATCATTCAGCGATTTTGGTCAGATATTTCCCGAGATCAGCTGCAATTAATCGGAATTGTTCACACATCCATTTTCTAAGGAAACTGGTTCTTTTTCTTTCCCCTGAGGTGAGGATTTTCTGCTTGTTCACTTGGTTTATCAAATACGCAAAACGTAGAACAAAACTTTTAATGCTAACCATAACTTGAAATGTTGCAGTTGAAAACTTATTTTGAAGAACATGTCACCTTATAAACACATCGTTGTAAATGAGTTTCCATAGGGATGGTATAATGTTACTTCCATCAATTTACAGGCGACAGGAGTGGGGGTTACCTTTGAGGGGGTTATCTTAAGACATTTTATTTCTCGCATTCTGAACGGAAGGCAGGTGAATAGCACTGATCAAATCGGTTTGCTTTTATTGTTGCCCAACTTTGTTTACGATTGCAAACCATTGGGAGGATTGCCATGCGCTTTCCCTAGTTCCGTTTGCTGCAGACAATTGATCTACAATTCATATTGGCATTTGTGAAACGTGCCAGAGAATTTTGAAAACTTTAACTAGTAAACTGAACCATATGTGTTGCAGTTGGGTGGCTATACGGCAACCGCGGGAGTTTTGTAATCGATCGTTAACCACGTTGACCGAGAGGGACAAACGGTGATGCTCGTGCATCCACTGATTATCCTTGTAACTTTCCGGTGGAGTCTCCATCTTCTATTTAACTCGGCTCACGATATATCCATTTTGATTTTTACCCAAATAAGCAATCATAAGACAGCCATCAAAACTGCCACCAGAAGGTGTATGGTTTTTGTTTGTAAATAATGAAATACGTTTCAGAATAAATACTCTGCGTTAATATTTCTCAATTGTCTCTAAGTTTGCTAAATTGCTCATACAGCATTTTGCAGAGTTTCATGGCGTTAAAAGTCCGTTACTGGTCCCTTCGTTTCCGATGTCATTCATTTCCGTGAATGCGATTTATGGTTTACTTCAATTCTTGAATATTT